AGTATGGTCCAAAATTTCACACGGTATTGGATTGTTTGTGGCGTTGTCTTCGCCGTGTATACTCGGCAGGAAACGAGGTGGATATGCCGAATACCATCCAGTATACCATCCATCCTTGAGGGCGGTTGATAACGGGATATAGACGGCCTCCTCGTTGACTTGCAGCGCTACAGCTCTCGAGGATGAGAAGGGCATGGAGTCATCCTCGCTCGTGTTAGCTTCCTCACCATCGTCTATATACGCAAGTGCCTCGTTCGTCGTCTCCCTCGAATGCTGAAGTGTGTCCTCTTTGGGCGTCCCGCTGGAGCTGGAGCAATCGACGGACGACACCGAGGCCTCGCGCCGCCGTTTCGCACAATGGCTTTCTACGTCAACTTGCGCCGGAATCTTCGTGGCGTCCTGCTGTGGAATTTTGTCAGTCAAAGCGGGATCTTCGAGCAGGCCGGACCACCGTTCGTGGCAGCTTTCGGCAGTCTTGCCATCTATTTCGGCGGCGATACCCTCCCATTGTGGTTCCTTCTCGCCGGAGCAAGTGACCAGGTATTTGAGGGCAAGGTCTTCTACGTGTGTCCAAACGTGGTCATCGTGATAGCTTTTTCGATGTCGTCCTTGGATGGGCGCAGTGATATTGGGATTCCCGGTGTCGGAGGACGTTACAGTAGGCTTGAGGGAGGCGAGAGATGAGGTTATGTTTGTGACGGTTACGCTCGGTTCCGAACCATCATGCGGAGCCGACGGTACTCACCATCAACACCCCCCCGGTATCGTGCGTCGAAAGACTTGACGGTTTGGGTTTAGGTTTTTGTACAGGGGCCTTATATTTATATGGCTCGCAAACTGTGCCGGCCTTTTCACAACGAAGACAGGGAGAATTCCGACACTTTTTTCTGAATTTCTTGCACCGAGTGCACGAGGTTCGCGGCGGATTCCTGCTATCGACGTTCCGAATAACATGTATTCTACATTGCATTTTTCTGCGGCAATTGGAACACTCACGCCGTTCCGTATCCGGTTTCTTGGAATAGTGAGACATGTCTTTTCTTAAAGTGTTTAGGCAGCACAACCAGTCCTGTAAATTTATTGAGTGGATGTGTTGGATTTATATGAAGTGATACGGGGCCTACCTTGCCGAAATAAAAAAAAAAAAAAAAAAAAAAAAAAGGACTTACGTTCACATGCGCGCTAGGAATTGGCCTATCTGGTCGTCTTTTTTGACGGTTTAGGGTTTAGGACGTGGGAAGGAAGAATTGTGCGACAGTATGCCATGGATTAGATTAGTGGCGTATGGGGGGACATATCTCTCTCGGCATCTTTTTTTTACGTCCCAAAGCCAATATTTAATTGCAGATCGATAATGAATCGCACCCTTCTTTTTCTATTTGTGTTGTGACATCAGTCGATATTCGCATCTCTGGCATTTCGTTTGTCTTTCAATGGTATACGGCGTGGTTTGGCCTGAGGCTGGACAGAAGGTTGCACGAGATTGCGGGAAGGTTTCTTAGATCAGTGGCAAGGATCAAACCAATCATCGACCAAAGCCCAGACTATATACAACTACGACAGATGGCCGACGGCCGGTACCTTGCCATTGACACGTGTGGTCACCAGCGGCCATCCACCGTAAAACTTCCCACACCAGATGGCCTTCCAGTGGAATCTACCCTATCCGTGCAGCACTACGGTCAAACCTACTCCCGGCTGACAAACATATTTGAAAGAGCTCCCCTTAAGAGCGGAGTAAAAAGATCTTAGGAAATGACACATTATGTAAGAAAGTTGGATATAAATTAGATCGTAATATATTAGATGGAGCTCTACAATACGCCTCAGCACATGAAACGTACTGTGCTTTACATAAGCGCATATATTGCGCGCGGAGTTGTAAAAGGAGCCAGCGTCGCATTATCGGTGGTATCAATACACATATTTTCCCATGAGCCATGATGGAATGATGGACCACGTAAGACAGCCCGAGAGAACCAGTAAGCCGGATAATCTGACAAACTAGTAGAAACTTCAAGGTGCAGACCATGTGCCTGGATGCCGATTATGTGTTGGCACATCATCCAGCTTGAAGCCTGTATATCCTGGCGCTGTCGGTTCCCGACGATCACGGAGCCGGCTCCATGAAGTCTAATGAATAAAATACACGTCACAAAACAATTTGTAAATCTACACGATAGACGATAGTAGTTTTAATATAAGCAGCTGTTTGGAAAAAGTGCTTGCTGAAAAAAATACATTCCAAAGTTGATAGTGAATTTTGGGCATAGGTAACAGTGGATCAGACAGACGGACGTCATATCACGTGACAAAAAAATCAACACATAATTCATTGTTTACCTTTTCAAGCCTCCAAATACACCATGCCACGCTCATCTTCGTCCACCTCTCTAAGGAAAGACTCCAGAGAACGAAGCGAAAGCCATTCAGTTCCACCTCGCTCACCCTACAGGAGAAAGGACAAACGCTCATCATCACCAAACTCTCCTTACCGGGGAAACGAGAGAGAACGAAGCGCCAAACGTTCCTCCTCACCACGTTCGTCCTACAGGAGAAGCTCGAGGGACAGAACCGACAAACGCTCTTCCTCGCCACGCACACACAGACGCACACGCTCTCCCTACAGGAGGACCTCCAGAGACAGAACCGAAAAACGTTCCTCGTCGTCACGCACACGCTCTCCCTACAGGAGAACCTCCAGAGACAGAACCGAAAAACGCTCTTCCTCGCCACGCACGCGCTTTCCCTACAGGAGAACCTCGAGAGACAGAGGCGACGCATCTCAAGGTGACCACTGGCGCCCCAACGACCGCGACGAACGGGACAGATACAACCGCGAACGTAGCCGGTCCCTTGAAAAGCGCAATCGCGCCGGCGACTGGGACGCCCGTCACCGCTCGCGATCTCCAAGATACGACCCCTATGTGCCTCCGATATACGATCCCTATGCGCCTCTTCGCGGCGGCGGCCGGAACGCGGATAAAGACCGAGGGGACTTCAATGATGGACAGCGTCTCCCTCATCGTCAGGACGGGCGGTTCCAACGGGAGGGCGCTGACATGGAGGGGTTGCCTCGGCTTGGGGGAGAAACGTATTTCGAGTAGTAAGTATTTTTTATTTGCGGGCGTGCATGAAACGATTTCGACGTGGCCGTTCAGGATTTGTTTGTTTATTTTCTATGTGTTATTCCCGCCCCTCATGCAGTCGCAAGCGTGTGCGAAATGATATACGGTTCTCCATTTGGCCACCCTCTCCCCGTGCTTCCCCCGAAAGAGACAGGTAATTTTGATTTCCATCATTACCAACTCGTCCCTCTTAAAGAGATTTGAACAATTTGGATAATAGCAATCATCACCGTTCCGAATAGATCGATGACGCCAGTGAAAGGCAAGAAGAAAGAGCGAACACGATCTTCAAAGAAGTCCCATATACCAGACAGCGAATCTGAATCCGTGACCCAATCTAGCTCCGATTCCGAGGACAGCGAAGGTATGCAAGCCACCCGGCGTGTGGATTCCTATCTGTATTGCATGTCTCTGCTGTACCTCGCTGAAAGACCCTACCCCCGTGCTCTCCCATTCCATCATCTCAGACGATCGCCGCTCGTCCCGCAAGCACAAGCATAAGCGTAGCTCCAAGTCGAAACGCTCAAAACACAAGAAATCGTCGTCCTCGAAGAAACACAAGGAACGCCGGCGGGAGCCTTCGTCGTCGTCGTCGGCCGGCTCGGCGGAGGAGGTGAGCGACAGGGCCACGGCGGCCAAGGACAACGAGGAAGGGGCGCTCGAGATAGACGAGACGCAGCTCGATCAGATCCATGATCTGTGGGTCGAAAAGAAGGGTATTTTTTATTATTTTATTTTATTTATTATTATTATTATTATTATTATTTGGGGGGGGGGTGTTGATTTGAGATCACGTGAGATTTTAACGAATGTCTGAACTGACGGTTAGCAATCGGTTGGGTTTTTGGTTTTATCAGTTGATCTGCCGGAGGATATGGCCGTCGGGCCGACCCCGATGCTCATACACGATGATGTGATCGATGAGCGAAGGTGAGCATTATATTTTGAAACATCCGTTAAGATCCACTGCACAAATAAAATCGGCCAATCCAGAGATACATAGTAATATTCTTCCTATTCGTCCCCAGCTACGGTGGCGCCCTTCTCCCCGGCGAGGGTTCGGCCATGGCGGCCTACGTCGCAGAAGGCAAGCGCATTCCTCGGCGTGGTGAGATCGGGTTGACGAGCAACGAGATCGAGAACTATGAGAAGGTCGGATATGTCATGAGTGGGAGCAGGTGAGTAGCGACGATTTTATGGGGTTGTGGTTTTTTGATCCGCGTCGTGAAGATGATGGTGCTGATCATAACCGCTCGTCCCCCTCTCCTTAAGGCATCGCCGTATGAACGCCGTCCGCCTGCGCAAGGAGAACCAAATCATCTCGGCGGAGGAAAAGAGGCTGCTGCTGGCGCACGCACAGGAGCAGAAGATGAAGAGGGAGAACGAAATCATCTCCGGGTTCAGGGAGAGATTGTGGGATAAGATGAAGGGCAAGGAGGACGAATAGTCCTGTGCAAGGATGGTTGTGTCGCGAATTAACCTCACTGTTGAAGCCGCCACTGTAACTCCCCGCTATCCGTAGAACATGGCTGTGCTCGATGTAATGAAAGCTAATTGTAATGAATGGCTCGCCGATTTATGAAATGCATCTGGTATATCAGGCAGATGATATCATGTTTTCTTTTTCTTTTTCTTTTTCAAAGACGTCAACGTTCAAGCACGGTTGTCGGAGCGTCGAATTCCCACGGAGAATGAGGCCATGTGACGGTGTATGGTCCAATTCATCCATTTACTGCGAGCGGCCCATTCATGCGAGGAACAAAACCTCCCTCTCATGTAAAAGTCAGTCTTGTCCTTTCATCCACTGTGAAACCCTAAAGAGGAAGCGAGAAACTACGAATTTGTCATAAGGCAAAGAAAAAAATACATATATGCGTAGTCTGGGAATCGAACCCAGGTCTCCCGCGTGGCAGACGAGAATTATACCACTAAACCAACTACGCCTTTGATTGCATGGTAACTATAAATTATATGTTTTTAATTCAAATTTTGAAATAGGAAATTTGATCAGAGGTGACTTATTTTTCATAAACTGGCGCAGGATCTACATTATTGAGTGAAATACTTAATCTAAAAAAACGGGGGGTTTTTTTTTTTTTTTTTTTTTTCTTAATAATAACTATTTGTTTTAACTTATAATAGTAGTTATTATGATATAGTTATATAAATAAAAATAGATATTTGATTAATAGATCTTAAGTTTAAATTCTTGATTTAATATAAAGATAAAAGTTGTAGAATTATATTTTTAATAATATTTATATTAAGCTATAATTTTAGTAATATTTAAAACTAATACTCCTAAATAAATTGAATCAAGGGTCTAATTCAAACCCTATTTTTAGAAATATAATAACTCAATAAAAATATGTCCAAATTTAACAATCTTTAACTTGTTGGATTTACCTTATATAAGCATACAACCTCCAAGCTACTAAAATTGCATGTTATCCTCAGAACTAATTTGAAAACTATATGTGAGACTACAAAACAAGTTACTGAAGAGATCATCTGGTTACACAAAATATACCAGCAAGCACGAGAACCTACCACCAAGATACAAGAATACCAGAAGAAGTACTACAACTATAAGACTGACTCTGAACCTCTATAGCTAGTTTGGTATACTGTACTATTACAAAAGAAAACTGAAAGTACCAAACTCAAACTGAGACAAGAAGAACCCTATCTCATCCATCAAAGGTTTATAAACTGCACTTATCAACTCAAGACCAAAATACACTATAACTATATAAGATCTCATTACTTAGCAGAAGCAAAATGTATTTGAATAACTCCATTCACTCTATCTGTATCACCTCTATTAGAGAGTGACAGATGCTTCATCTGAACTCAAGAAAGCCAACATTATTGAATCCAATCTCAAGCCATCCATGTGATAGATATTACTACTAGAAATTGTCTCAGATTATAAAAAATATCATTTCTGAGAGGTTTGAACCCCCAGCCATGACATTGGGAGCCCTTGTCCTAGATAAAGATGGCCAGTTCTCACAAATATACCAGAAGTATAAAAAAAAGAGAACTAAGACCTGTTATCCTTATATAATCACTACCACCAAGAACAGCCTTAATCTTATAAGAGAAAGAAGTAATGATATCTTTGAAACTGATGATGTCAGAAGTTAGAAAACTACTCAGACTTTATCAGAGATAATGTCATTAATAGTAATGTAATCAAAGACTACCCAGACAGCATCTAAACCTATAAATAGCTTAGCAGTCATAGCATAGTTAAATTAGCCTTATATGATATGACTGTGAACTGACTCAGCAGTCAGACAATCTCTTGATATGTCAGATCATACTTATACTATGTGATTGCATTCTGACTCAGCAAGGTACTAAGTACTACATCTATATTCAGCATAGTCTAGATAGCCCCTCATTAGTATAAATACCCCCTCTCCCAGACCTCAGAATCTCAGACTTGAAGACTTGAACAATCTGAACACAACTCCTGAACACTTCTCTACAATATTCCTTTACACAACTACTCCTAGTATAGCAATATTATGAATAGTGAATAAATCTATTTAATAACCCATAAACCACTCTTAAGTAAATCCACTCCCTGTTAGGTCCTACTCCTAATTCTGTTATGAAATTTTCTAATTGGGTATTGTCTGCAGTGATATGCTGATTCAACTAAGCTGGTCTTAGTTTTTTGAACTTCCTGAAATATGAAAAATCCTGAACATCCAGAACTAGTCTGAAAAAGGACTTTAGTTGAGACATCAATCCAATCTTGAAATCAATAAGTATTGAGGATATACTCTATACAAAATTGATCTTGACTTTAAGAAAATAGTCTTCTAGAATATCCAGAACTTCCAGAAAACCCTTCCAGAACTATGTAACAGTTACTCTAACAAGTAACCCTCTTATAACTTAGTAGCAGTAGTTTACAATTCAATTCCACTTCAAGATGCTTCCTCACCCCACTACAAACCCCTCTGAGAATTCCTACAAGTTGGTATAAAGCCCAACCTCTGAACTGGAATTTATCCTAAATTATCTGACAATCTAGAGAGAATTGAACCTGATATACAAGAACAATTTGATCTCTACACCTGCAACAAGTGGGACAAACTTTATTCAAAGAAAGAAATACTCCAGTTAAATCAGCAGATAGACAAAACTCTATATACTGAACTTCTTGCACTACACCCAGCAAGTTAAGACAAAGAAGGTCTTATAGAAGCCTTCTTTACTCTTCTCAATAAGAGTTTTGTCAGCTCCATAAATCTGAGTGACCTAGGACAACTATCAGCAGTCTTTCTAGCCTTAGTTTCTCATGAAGCCCAAGTCTCTGTAGCTAAGTGGCTCAACTCTACCATACCAGGACCAAGGCTGCACTATACTACTAATTCCAGAACAGCAAGGTCCATCATATTCTTAAAGAAGAAGCAAGAGAAACACTTCATCAACAACCTGATCCTGAACCTAAAGCAGGCTTTACTACAACTCTATCTGAATCTGAAACTAATACTAAACTAGAACTTGATTTCAAACTAAGTCCATCTGAAATCAGATATATAACTGATTCTGTCTACTTTGACGCTGAGCAAACCCAATTATACAGAGACCAAACTGAAGAGGAGGAGGAGTATCTCAGTGAATTTGATCCTGAATATACCACCAAAAGAGATATACCTCTATCAGACCAGAATACACCTATACAGCAATAAATAGCTTTCTATCAAGCCCTCACTCCAGACTCACAACTACTACTCTAGCAACTTACACAGACTCAAAAAACCCCATCACACTCTGCACCAGTACCTCAAGTAGTATCAGTAACACCACTATCAGCAGTCTAACTGCCTCCAGTAAACAATATGGTGAACCAACAGATTCTAGACCTCACAGTCCAGATAGTCATAATGGTAGCAACCATTACTGCCTTAGCTGAATAGACCTGATCTACTAAAAATCTGAGCCTACCTATCTTCAATAGTACTATACAAGAAGTCTAAAGCTTTATTAGTGTAGTTGACACCAACTTTGAAGCCAATCAATAGACCAATGAGTGAGTTGCTGACCACCTTCTTACAAACAATCAAGACCATACTATGGAACAACTCTTTGCTACTACCATGGCCTATGTCCACTAAGTTGTTATATTCTTCCAAGGATCTGCTGAAGAATAGTGGTGAACCCTTTCTGAAAAACCCCTCACATGGGACACCTGACCTATAGTAGTTGCCCAGAATGCAGCAAATAATGCCCCAGGATATAGAGCCCATCCTGTAGCCCCTGGACTCAAACAACTCATAATTGCTCAATACCACAGTGAAACCATGATTACTGAATTCCAAGTCAAACTCTGTAACCTCAAATTCAATATATATGGCAAAGAAGAATTCAAAACCTTCTATATAAAACTCAAGTCACTTCTGAACACTATTGGCTTAGGATATATTGCCAATGATGAAGTATAAAATGATACAAGAGCAGACCATTTACTTAATGTACTACCTGAATGGCTTACTAGAAAAATCCGAGAACAAGACTGCCCAGTGGGTTGCGATCACCAACAATAGTGCCTGGTAAGAATCAAGACTATGGTCTAACAACTGGACCAATTCTGCCTTGAAGACAATTCAACAACAAGAAAAAGACTTAGACCAAAAAAGAAGAACCCAAGCATGAAGCATTCCAAGCTCCCTTTACATCTACCTCTTGGACATCTAGAAATCATGAACTCACCCAGCTGAGTATCTTTAAGAAACTCACTGAAGGAGAAAGGAATGAACTTCAAAGAAGCAGAGCATGCTTCTATTGCCAAAAGATAGGACACATATATAGCTAGTATCTGTTCTAACTGAAAACCCCAAATAGCAACATAAGTAACTATTACTACTCTGCACCACCTCAATAACCTGATCACCAGAATACTGGACTTTATTAAGTGAAGACAAACTGCCAAGGCCCCAATCAAAGAAAGTCAAAAGGCAGCTAGCTATGACCTATATGTAGCTGAAGAAGCTATAGTCTCCAACCAAGAAGTCAAGCAAGTCTATACAGGAATTAGCATCCAAATCCCTAAAGGATATATTGGAAGAATATGCTGTCATAGCAGCCTAGTATTGAAAGGACTCTCAGTAGAAGGAGGAGTCATTGATGAAGATTATACAGGCAAAATTATTGTCCTCATCTGAAACCATAGTTGGACACCCTTCAAGATTCCCATTGGTTTCTCTATTGTACAGATTCTATTCAAGAAAATTGAGTCAACTCTGACAGTCAAGGAAGTCTCTGAACTACTGCCCACTATTCGAGGATCCAAAGGATTTAGCTCATCAAACAAGGCCCCAGCCCAACCTATCATAAGCAAAGAAGAATGATTCTACAAGAAAATTGAAGATGGATATGTACTAAGTAGCTAATGTCCCCATGGCATTGAAATGTACTCTTCTCAAATAATCAATGATTGCTTCTCTTGTGTCAATGAATTGGTTCAAAGAAGAACTAACATGTAACATTTTAGCATAGTTTATTTCTTTTCTCTGTCTTTCTTAAATATTCTATAACCTTCCGGCACTTTCCGCGTACTTAGAAATCCCCTTCTTGGCACTGAGCATTAACTAGTACTTATTTAGTTAGTCACCGAATGTCCTGGAAACTTGTAGAATTTTATTTGTCATCATTTGTCATCTTTGCCGAGAACTTTCCTCTTGGCATTTTCCTTTGATTTCTCAGATCCTTCTGGATCCTTCTTTCAGATCTTGTATAAATATCTCCTTTGTTCTCATGAATAAAGCTTCAGAATATTTTCTCTCAGAAATTCTTCGAGAACACTTGAACCCTTAGTATCTCTTCGAGCTACTTAGGATTACCAGAACTAGTTGCTTCCTCATTTAGAAACTAGAACTGTTACACTTGGTAGCAGCAGTGAAGTTACACCTAGCCTTATCAA